GAAGGTGCAGGGCAAGCTCTGGCTCCATGTTGCCACCTGCGGCGGCATCCCCGAAGGGAAGCACCGACACACACGGGCACAGAGACCAACACTTTGCTGTCCCTCAGCGAGGTTGGCAAGCAAGCAGGAAAAGCTGAGAACCGGCTGTCCGGGGGGGTCCCTTTAAGCACGAGCCTCAGATAGCCTCAGACAGCAGCTACACAACGCAACTACTGACCTGATGCCCTGCCAGAACCGGTTTCAGCCGCCCTTAAATGCCCCCCTGCGTCCAATCAGTGTGGACGCGCTAGTTCGAATTAGCAAAACGCTAATTCGAACTAGTTTTTAGTTCTAGATGCGTTAGTTCGAATTAGCACTGTAGTGTAGACGTACCCATACAGATTTAGAAATGACACATATTTACATAAATAACACACACACATGGTCAGTAGCCTTTAGTAATATGGTTGCATCACAGACATTTTCTCCTTGGCCCCATCCTGGGGCATTGGTTCAGAACTATTCTGAGATGGGAGGACAAAGTTGCCTCAGCATATAGACTGTTATATGTCATTGAACTATACACTGCACAATCTTAAGTGTACAACAAATGGCACATATAGAACTATGAAACTTCTGGGAGGGCAAACAAAACTTCCTGATCTACCCCACCCCCTGCCAAGATGCTCTACTGCTTGTCTCCTGTTGTGATTCCTCCTGTTTGATGACGTTTGTAGCATGCGCAGAATTCTTGTCTGAGGGCGACAGAATTTTTTTCTGCAGAAAATGTGCCGCATTTCTGCCTTTTGTCTACCAGAGGCCACTGTGGCATCAGTGCAGCTTGAGCTGGCTGGGGCTGACTGGGGTGGAGGGTGGTGGCAAACAGCTAGCAGGCTGATGCCTTTTTTCCTCAAGTGAAAAGTCACAGTAGCCTTCTTGGTACCAAGTTGGGGGAGGGAGAGCTCAGTGGTTTGAGCACTGGCCTGCTAAACCCAGGTTTGTGAGGTCAATCCTTGTGGCAGCCATTTAGAGATTTGGGGCAAAAATTTATCAGGGATGGTACTTGGTCCTGCTATGAAGGCAGGGGACTGGACTTGATGACCTTTCAAGGTCCCTTCCAGTTCTAGGAGATAGGCAATCTCCATTAATTTATTTATAAGTTAGTAGGAAGAGCAGGTTACCCAGGGC